ATGTGTGCCCACTTTGCTCCTCCAATGAGGAAAAAAGCTCTTTGCAGGGAGGAACGTGAGGGTCTGTACCATCCAAAGGCCCCACAAAAAGCATGGCACACAGGAGATGCTCAAGACGTGCCTAGCTGGTAAAAAGTCATGCACCGATGGGGAAGGGGCAGTGGTCCCGTGGGGACAGAAGTCTTTTAGGTGCAGCTGTGGGATGCCTGCGTGGCAGTCACCTCACCCAGACATTGACTTCTCTGTGTCCACGTTTGGCTTTGTCCCCATGGCCCATGGTAGGGCACTGGAAGGGGCAAGCATGCAAAAGATGATTCACGCTAATATGACAAGGAATTTTCTCCAAGCACCAGGCTAGCTAATGAAGAGACAGATGTATCATATTGAGCAGTCACTGAAAATATTTGTCATTTATGTGCATATTTTTACATGCAGACTGAAAAGTATCCATGCACTAAATATTTTCTATTTGTATGTATATAATTTATATATCTTATATATATATGTGTGTATATTCCAAAAATATAAAGCACCTGCTGTGTGCCAACCACTCACACTACACAAGTCACTTCAGACCCACTACCAGTTGAACTTACATCCATTCTATGGGGGAGAAAATTGAGCTTTAAAGAGGGTAAGGAAAAAAAGGGGGGGTAAATAACTTGCCCAAGGTCACACACCTGGTCAATGAGATTATGAGCCCGTGATAGACTACACTTGAAAAGCATTCATTTGCTAGTTTATTCAGCCAACGAAGAACAGATACCATAAGCAGAACCCCCATAGTCTCTATCCTTAAGAAATTGAAAAAAAGGGGGCGCCTGGATGGCTCAGTCGGTTAAGCAACCAACTTCAGCTCAGGTCATGATCTGGTCGTCTGTGGGTTCGAGCCCTGCGTCAGGCTCTGTGCTGGCAGCTCAGAGCCTGGAGTCTGCTTCCAATTCTGTGTCTCCCTCTCTCTCTGCCCCTCCCCTGCTTGCTCTTTGTCTCTCTCTGTCTCTCTCTCTCTCAAGTAATAAACATTTAAAAAAAAATTTTTTTTAAAGAAACTAAAAAAAAGGGGGGGGGGTAGTGCCTGGCTGGCTCAATTTGGTAAAGCATATGACTCTTGATCTCAGGGTCATGAGTTCAAGCCCCATGTTGGGCATGGAGCCTGCTTAAAAAAAGAAAAGAAAAGAGAAGAGAAGAGAAGAGAAGAGAAGAGAAGAGAAGAGAAGGAAAGAAAAGGAAAGAAAAGAAAAGAAATTGTAGACCGCAGAAGACATGTAGATCATGAGCTGTACATGCTATGAATACCTTAGAAGGAACAGAAATCAAGTGTTTCAGAAGTTCCAGGGCAAGGGAGAGGGGTTGCACCCTAACCACAGGACAAGACATTGAAGGACAAGTGAAAGGGAGTTGCAGACATGGAAAGATGCCTGTCCAGTGCTGAGATGCATGAAGGTCTCACTAACCAGGGTCACAGGGCTGTAGAGTGGGGCACCCCAGGGAATATGGACCAAGGTAACAGCTGTAGGACCTCTGGCAGCAGGAGGCTGAGTTGAGGCAAAGCTGCTGGGGTTCCTGGTTTACCACCCTCCCCATGTGCCTCCCTCCCAACTTCTCTAGTTAGGGCAGGGAACTCAATTAGGGGCAGCAGGCTAATGAGAAAGGGCATGATGCCTGGGGGGTAGGAGGGGGGGTGTTGGGGGGCAGAAGGGGCAATAGACTTGGCTTTTAGAAGTTACTTGGGGCGGAGAGGGGTAGGGCGCCTGGGTGGCTCAGTCGGTTGAGCATCTGACTTGGCTCAGGTAATGATCTCACAGTTGGTGGGTTCAGGCCCCACTTCTGGCTCTGTGCTGACAGCTCAGAGCCTGGAGCCTGCTTTGGATTCTGTCTCTCTCCCTCTCTGCCCCTCCCCTGCTCGTGCTCTGTCTCTCTTTGTCTCTCAAAAATAAATATATGTCAGAAGTCACTCCGGAGCTACCCAGCGGGGTGACCTTGGAAAGGTCCCCCAGCGAGGCTGGACTTAGAAGGCCTCGGTCCGGGGGATTTCTGGGCCGCACCTGACTCCTGCTTAAACCAGGCGCTGGGCTGGAGCTGTGGATCATCAGAAAGTGAAGGCATGCTGTGCAAGGTGGTGCAGATCATCTGCCTGGCCCAGGAGGAAGCTGTTTCTGGTTTGGGGAAGGTAGGCACAGTGGGGCCTCCCGCTCAGAGCTCGCAGACCACCGGACCCCACCCCTGGGGCGCCTGGTCGGGACCAGAAAGGTGCGACCGCTGTCAGACACCCGCAGCGGGGAGGGCCTCCCCCCTTCCCCTCAAGCCACAGCCGCCCCGCCTGCTCCCCAGGCCCTCCTGGGAGTGAGGTCTGCGTCTAGAAGTCTGCTGGCTAGCTACAAGGCTAGCCTGGTGGGGCCGAAAGAGACTGGAGCGTTCGCCACTCCGGGAGCGGGGGGGTAGGAAGGCCCTCCCGGGGCGCTCCCGGGGCCCGGGGGCGGGCGGCTGGGAAACGCCGGCGGGGCCTGGGCGGCGGGCGGCTCCTGTTTCCCGCTCGGCCCGGGCGGGCGCGGGGCAGCTGCTGGGAGGTGAGCGGAGCAGCGTTTTCCCACAGTCCGGGGCGGTGACACATGGCGCTCGCGCATTCCACAGCCGCCGCCGCGCCAGGCCTGGCCGCGAGTCAAGGCAGCGACGAGCCGCCGCCCGCAGGTTCCGACTCCCACCCGCCGCGGCTCCTTCCCCGGGGCGGCGGGCGTCCGGGCACCCGGCGCGGACGCCGTGCAGGCCGGCGTGGTTGGCCCCGGCGCTCAAGACCCGGAACAGCGACGCAAGGAAGGAGCGCTAAGGGGGCATCTCCGGGCACGCACACGGGCTGACCCCCACTCTCTCGTCCAGGCTCCAGAAGACCGAGAGGAAAAGGGGAGGGGGTGATGGGCACCCCGGGTTCAGCACGGGGGAAAATGGGACTGGGGAGGAGGAGCTCGCTGAGGGCAGCGCTGCTCTTGCCTCTAGATGCGGAGGGAGACTGCCAGAGGCATGTGGGGGTGGGGGCCCTCTCCCTCCAGTCGGTCCTGCACCCCTGAGTCTGTAAGGTGGGGGCTGCCAGTCTCTGCCCAGAAGAACCCCCTCCCACAATCCCCTATTTACTGATGGGCTAAGGAAGCCTTGATCAGCCCACTCTGGTGACCCTGGCATAGATGCAAAAAAAGACAAGTAAAAAGTGCCTCAAAAACGGGTCCTCAGAACCTGGGGTGGACCTTGGTTTCTGTGGGATGGTGGGCACGCCTGTATTCTGCTTCCCTTGGGCTTCTGTGTGGACCCCCACAGCCCCTCCAATTCTGTCAGCTCTAGAACTGTGTCTCGCTGCTTAAGTCAGATACAGTGCTGAAGCTGGAGATCACAGGGAGCTTTCACGCACCCAGAAACCCACAGAGCAAGGAAGCCACCAAGCATTCTCCACAGAAGCTGCCCAAACCCTAGGGGACAGGAACTGTTCTGGGAACTTCACTATTTCCAGAGCTGCCTTAGGTACGTTTCCTTTCATTCCAACAGCAACCCTGTGGGAGGGCTGGTTATTGCCCCCTGGTTTATACCTAAAGAAATAGGGAGTTAAAGAGCTGAAGTCACTTGCCTATGGTCACGTAGCTATAAATGTGCTTGATCCCAGGTTTGTCCAACCACCAGCCCAGTGCTTTGTTAACTGCGCCTCAGAGATTAGATGCAGTTCAGATTAGAGTCCATGCACACACCTGCTCCCCCACCTACACACACACACACACACACACACACACACACACGAGAACACAGAGCTGCCCAACCTTAACCTTTTCCCAGCAGAATCACACTTGATCCTCGTGAATCCTTATTGAGGATTCTCAGTAGCTCTAACTTTGATAGAACCTGGTAGAATTTTTCCAACTCACTTTTGTTCTGTGAAATAAACTACCCCCAGTATATTCTTGACCATTACAAGGTAACCAAAGGACAAAGAGGTCAACCATGAAGATTCACAAGGTCCTGCGTTCTTTCAAGTTAATTCACTCAATCAATTAGCATTCACTGGGAGCCTACTATGGGCCAGATCCCCAGCAGGGTGCTGAGGAAAATGAGAGAGGGGTTGAGAGCAGAAGAGAAGGAGAAAGAGAAGGTACCAACGAGAACACAATCCAGAAGACCCACGGTCCCCACTGAGGCCTCCCGATCAGGTTAGGTTGGAAAGACCCATAAAGAGACAGTTACATCATAGCACGATCAGAGACGTATGAACTAAGTACAGTGTCGAGAATGATGCTAGTGGAAGTCTAGAAAAGGCTCCCTAAAGAGGTGACCTTTATGTTGGATGAAGAATGAGTGGTTCTCCGGACAGAGGCAACAGGGAAGGCCACTCCAGGCAGAGGAAACACGACAGGAGAGCTCAGAGAGGTCACAGAAAATATGAGCCATAAATAAAACATTGATAAACTGTATAATATCAAAGTTTTAAGTGTCTGCTCATAAAAAAATTGTACCCTGAAGAAAATAAACAGGCAAACCACAGACGAGGAGAAAATATTCTCCAAACATAAATCTGACAGAGGAATTAAAATGCAGAATATATAAGGAACTCCTGCCACTCAATAATAAAAAGACAAACAATACAACTTTTTTTAAATGACCAAAGGCTACACAGACACGTTACGGAAGACCCACAAATGACCACAATAAACACATGTGAAAGCCTTCAACATCATCAGCCACCTGGGAAATGCAAATTAAAACTACAATGAAGGGGGTGCCCCTGGGTGGCTCAGTCGGTTAAAGGCCCAACTTCAGCTCAGGTCGTAATCTCATGGTTCATGCGTTCGAGCCCCACATTCAGCTCTCTGCTGTCAGCACAGAGCCCCCTTCAAATCCTCTGTCCTCCTCTCTCTTTGCCTCTCCCCTGCTCATTCTCTCTTTCTCTGTCTCAACATAAATAAATAAAAACCTAAAAGAAAATCCAAAAACACAAAAACTACAACGAGGTCTCACCACACACCTACCAGAAGGGCTTAATGTAAAACCTGACACCATCAGATCTCGGAGAGGATGTGGAACAATTAATTGGAACCCTCATACATCACTGGCAGAAATACTAACTGGTACAGCCACTTTGAAAAAACTGATAGTTTCTTAAAAAGTTAAACATACATCTACCCAGTGGTAAACTGGTAAATGTTTAACGACTGGCTCCCCAGAAGAAAAACAAGCCCGATTTATGGCATTTGCCGATCTCGCTGCTATGAATATTGCCTCCGGGACCGATTGCAGGTTGTCAATATGATACGACTGAAACAACGTTGGGAAGAAATGAGCCCTTGCTAGTGGGTCCCAATCCACTGCAACACACCAGCCCATCCTTCCTGGGACCTAGTGGCTCTGCTCACCAGGATTCACCTAAGAGAAATGAAAACACAAGTCTTCAAAAAGTCTCACACATGAATGGTTGCAACAGCTTTTTTCATTAATGTTTATTTCGGGAGACAGAGTGTGAGCAGGGGAGGAGCAGAGAGAGAGAGAGGGAGGGAGACACAGAATCGGAAGCAGGCTCCAGGCTCCGAGCTGTCAGCACAGAGCCTGATGCGGGGCTCCAACCCACGAACCGTGAGATCGTGACCTGAGCCGAAGTCAGGACGCCCAACTGAGTCACCCAGGCGCCCCAGCTTTTTTCATTGTAGGCCAAAATTGGAAATGACCCAGATGTTCGTCACAAGAGAACAGATAGATAAGCTACACTACCTTCGTATAATGGAATACTGCTAATGGATAAAAACGAATGATCTTCTGAGACATGCGACCATATGGATGAATCTCGAAAATACAATGCTGTGTGAAAGAAGACAAATATGAGAAGAACATTCTGTACGATTGCATTTATGTGAAATTCCAGAATAGTCAAAACCGAACAATGCCCATAGAAATCCGACCACTGTTGCTGGAGGAGGCGGGGATTAACTGGGAAGGACCCTGAGCCAACTTTCAGTGGGGACAGAAATGTTCTGGGTCTTGATGTGCATTGGTCAAAACAGAACACTTGAGATCTGAGCATGTCACTGTTTGTAGATTATACGAAGAGAAAAAAGGCACCACAGCTAAAAAGTCTGGGTTTCTTCACTTGAACGCTCAAGGTATCTTAGGAGCTGAGGACCACAGTCCAGCAAGGGGGGTCTGAGGCAGCTGGCTCAGCACATGGGCGTCAGGGAGGAAACTGTATTTCTCCTATTTTCTTTTAGCAAAACCAACAAAGCATTATTTGCTTTGCCTCCCACTTTGGTCACTAGGTCCCCTGGCCACAGGGCAGACTATGTACTGGGCAGCCACAGGGCACTGAGGTCGGCTGGCCTCGTCATCCCCTCGGCCTGGCCCCATCATCGTTCCTCTGCCCCAGCGCTCCCTCCCACATTTTTGAAGACTCCATTTAAGGAACTTGAATGTTATTTTGCTTCCCACTTGTCTTTTATTAAAAAAACAAAAACAAAAAAACCTCCTCTTTGTTTTCCTCTGAACTTCCCTAGCTCCTTTCCAGAAACTTCCATCCCTCTTCTACTCAAACTCAGTTATAGAGATATATGCTAATTATTTAATAGCCCAGGGCTGTCAGGAATCCCTGTGTCCAAGAGTTCTACAATAACCGAAGCACAGAAATGGCTAAGTAATTTGTGTGTTGAGTTTGGAACACGGCTCTGCCACTGCTTAACCTGCTGTGTGATCATGGGAACATTACTCAAACTCTCTGGTCTCCGTTTTCTTATTTGAAAGATAGGGGAGTTAACGGCTACCCCAGTGGGTACAGCAGCGATAAAATGAGATACTTTGTGAAAGAGCCAGCACGTTTGGGGACTTAAAGTTTGGGGTTTCTTTCTTTTTTCGTATTTCACTGTAATTAATCCTTAACTACAAACATTTTAATGATACTGTTTTAAAGAGATTGTGCAACTCTCCCGAGTCATGCACCTAACGAGGAGCAGAGGCGGGAGTCCAGCCCAGGTCTCTGCTCCTCTTCCAGCCCTCCATGCACACGGTGCTTCTGGGCTGCAGAACCTTCTGGCTCAGGGCACAGCAGTGGACTCCACCCACTCGACCTTCCATGTCTGCAGTTTCAGAAAAATAGCATAAGAGGGCCAGGTGCAGGAAGGTGGAAAGGCTCTTGTCTCACACAAAAACAGTGAAATTCCTTTCACACCCTCCTACCTCCCACTCCTTAATGAGTCTCTTATGAGCGTAAAGTCTCCTTGACTTTTCAAAGTTTTATAAAGAGTTCCTTGTAGAACTCTTAGAAAATGAATGTGAGGCACTTGTAAAACTTCACACAATACACATGGTTTCCTTTTGCCTTTCTATATTTTATTCACACACCCTTTCCCATAACAAAACTCGCTGGTCAGTGCCTAGTATCTCCCCACCCCTCCCACCTTCCTTAACTTCCTTCTGTCCCGCTCTCTCTACTGTAAAACGGGCTCATTCCAAAGTCCTCTTTAATTGCCTTGATGCCCAGAGTTAATGTTTCTTCAATCTTCTTGCTCATTTGACTTTCCTTCTGGCCTAGTCATTGTGCCCCAAGACAAGTACCGTACTTTCCTATCTCCATGCCTTTGCTCACACATCTTTCTTCACACTTTGCCCATCCTTCCAAACTCAGCTCAAATGCCAGCTCTCCGTGAAGCCTTCACTGATGTCCTCTGCTCGAAGGGATGTCTCCCTTCATCCGAGCCCCACAACGCGTTTCCAAATCTCCTTGTTAATAACACTCGTCCCTGTGTCCCATGTAGCATGTGGATGAGTGAGATGGACAGACAGGCAGACGGGTGAGTTGGTGGGTAGATGGATGTATGGATGCATGGATGCATGGAATATGTATGAATTTTTGAGTGGAGAGACAAACAGCAGGCCGGCAGCATTTCCCAGAGCTTTGGGACGTGGTCATATCTGGACGTCTGCATCGCATTAGTATATTTTCTGATTCAGTGGTCATTCAACAGCTTCTGTGTCTTGTCTACCTACCCACAATCTAGTTCTGATCTCAGGAAAACACATTGGGAATATTCAATTCAGACTGAACCCCAAGTCTTATGCAGTCAATATTTGCAGATGACAAAGGCCCAGATAGATATATTTTAATGTGTCCCTAACCTGAAGCCTGACGAGTTTTTACTGGCATTCTAAAGTGGCTGTCAATACATGTCTTGTTCCTGCTTTTTGGGCTGCAGCTGAATCTTTGTGCCCCACGGCAACCAGTGCAACTGCTCATTTTTCAGATGAGGAAACTAAGGTTTCCTCAAGGGAACATGGCTTGCACAAGATCAGATGTAAAGTAAGACCAAAACTCGGCCTTGACTCCCAGCCTCTCGCTCCATTCTTTATACCTTACAAGCTAAAGCCAGTGGGCTGGCTTATCTATTCTAGGTATGTTTCAAACCTTGATAAAAAGCATGAAGATTTGGAAAGAAAATCCAAGACTTCTCTAAAGAGTTGTAAGATTTCTCACTATGGACTCTTTCTGTGTTTAACACCATTGGATTTGGGGCCTTAGCTTTCCAAGCTTCCGTTTGTACGATGAAAAGAAAAATGCTATGCCCCTGACTGCTTCCTAAGAGCTGCGGAGGATTCCAGATTTATGTTTGCGCAGGTCGCTCCAATGACAAGGAAAATGAAGGTTTGGAGACCTGCATGCTGTAGGCTCTGACTTTTTTTAGTCAAAAGTCTCATCCATTAGGACATGGCAGCATTTTGAAGACCTCCTCTGTTATCAGTCCAGTAAGTGACCATTTCTCTGCTCTGGGAATATAATCCCTTTCCATAGGTTTTACTGAAGAACAAAGTATTCAGGTAAGCCTCTGTGCACCACTCATTTTTCTGAGTTATCTAGAGAAGGCTCTGGCTTCTCTACTCCCCAAATAGAAGCTGACAACCCTTTCCAGGAATTTCTAAAACTTTGATCCAAAGTTTTCAGAAACACCAACGGTTCTACTTTGGTATTTATGATATGATTTCTTGGTGACCGTGACTCAAAGCCTCAGCTCCCCTCCTTTAAAACACACTACTATTGGGGCGCCTGGGTGGCGCAGTCGGTTAAGCGTCCGACTTCAGCCAGGTCACGATCTCGCGGTCCGGGAGTTCGAGCCCCGCGTCGGGCTCTGGGCTGATGGCTCAGAGCCTGGAGCCTGTTTCCGATTCTGTGTCTCCCTCTCTCTCTGCCCCTCCCCCGTTCATGCTCTGTCTCTCTCTGTCCCAAAAATAAATAAACGTTGAAAAAAAAATAAAATAAAACACACTACTATCTGCCTCAAAACTCTGCACGAAGCGCAAAGGACACAAACTGCTCTGTGCCTCATAAATATAGCCAGTGACTACACGTGGGCATGAACATTTCTCTCTAATTGTCATTTTCTCCCGGAAAGCCCAGAGATAATAGGAAGAAAGTGGGAGAGGAGCCAGAGAATGGGGGCATCAGGAGAGGGTGTTGCTGCGGGAAGCTGACCCCCTCCTCGAGCGCGCAAGCAGCAATTATCACTGGTCAGCCAACCCGAAACGCGTCCTGCCTTTACGCATTTTCAATCAATACCCCAAATGCCAGAAGTTTCTTTTCAAATTAAAAAAAAAAAAAAAAAAAAAAGTGAGGAAGGAAGAAAGGAAGAACTCCAAACAGTGGACAAAAACCAGGCGCCATGGCCCCCACTCCAGCTTGTGAAGCGGCGACAATGGTGAGAAACCAATGCCCAGAAGCACAAGGCGGCTTTCAGACACCTCTTGACCTTGTCACTTCCTGGGTAATTAAGAGGCACTACAGTTCCGTGTCACTGTCAGGGGCTGAATGTATATCGATAGATAGATATATATGTTCTTAAAAAGATTCTTTTTCTACAGCCTTGGTCAGGATCCCGCCAAAGAAAAGGGGGGAAAGAAAGGCATTTTGTCCAGAGTGCAGTGAAAGGAAGCATGAAAGCAGAAAACCTAAATTTTTCAGCACAGTCTGCTCCTGACATGGGAAAATGGCGCAGACAAGAATAGATGGCTTGTTCCCTTCCTTCCCTTGACAGAGTATCTCTGTGAATGTGCCGCAGGCGGCAGGGCCCTCGTCCGGCTCGGCGTTCTTCTTCGGATACCTTAAAAGCAATAATGTAAACCCTGAGTTCTCCAAGATAGGCTGCATCCCTGCTCTCTTTCTTTGGGCCTCAGTTGCCACAAATGAGGGAGACTGGATTAAACCCTCTTCGGGGCCTTTTCCGCGGCTGACATTTGCCGAGACTGTGAGAAATGGTTTCTGTCTTCTGACCCTGCCAAGGATACAGAGGAACACAGAATTCTGGGAGAGCAGGCATGGGCCTCTCCCCATATGCCTGTCAAACACCAGCCACCGAGGCCTCTCAGAACCTTAGGGAGTCTTGAGGCAAGGACCCCTCGAGAAGGTTGGCCCAACCCACTGGAGAGCCAAGCCCTAAAGACACTTTGCCAGCTCTGAGTCTGATGGTTCTTCGGCACGTCTGTGCTCTTTCCCAGTGGCTCTGGTCTGGGGGGCCCCACCGAGAGGGCTGGTGACGGTCTGCTCCATCATTGGACACAGGTGGAATCTCCATCATGGACCGTCAGCTCCCGGGCCCTCGGCCCTCACGGATTATCTCTGGATCCCTGTCAGCACCGAGCCCGGTGCCCAGCATATGGGAGGTGCTCTGTGGATGTATTAAGCCAACATCTGGATTCAAAGACACAGGGGAAGCAGGAAGCGTGTTGATGTTGGATGCAGAGCAGTGAATCACTTCCGCGTAAAACCGAGGTTTTTATTTCAGCAAAACTGGTCACTTCGCCAAATTCTAGGCAGCTGGTTTTATGGCCGGAGGACAAGAATCTGTGTCTGTCATCTCTCTATGCCCACTACTAACAGTGACCAGGTATACAAGCCACTACACTTTGAGGGATGTTGCAGGCGAATGATGTGGCCCACGGAGGCTTTCGTCTTTGGTGTCCCTTGGCATGGGGTGGGTTTGGCTATATCGTGACTGCCCTGGTGTCAGTGGGGTCCTGCAGTGAGTGACATTCTCTGGATGCTGTCCTGACAGCATTACACAAGCATGGGCTCCCAGCCGGCCGAAAAATACCGTGGAAGTTGCATTGGCTGCCCCACCGAAGATGTCCCCTTTTCTTCCTGGAATATCAAAAGGATGCACGTAGTAGTAAATGTAAAAGGAATTACATTTACCCAGAAGAAAAGTACAATACAATGTACTATGGTAATAATATGTTACGATATAACTCAGATGAAGCTCGTCTAGACGATCTCTCCAACTCATCAGGTAGGTGCTGTGTTTTAAAGCGTTCTGGCTGAAATGGAGAAAAGCGGGCCCCCAGACAACTGGTTGCCTTCACAACCCCACCCGAGGGGAGGGCACCGGGTCAAGTGTGATCTGTCCCAAGCAAGGGCAGCCTCTCCCCAGGTACCAAAAGATCATTATCACTTTCGCTACGTGGGATCTCAGCTATGTTTTCTTCTGGCCAGCCTAAAGCCCTTTGCATTTGTTCTGACAGAGGTTTGAGAGGCAAGATGGACAATATCACCAGCCCAGGGAGAGCGGGACACAGAAAGGCCAAGCTGATGAAACACGTAACAGTGAAGGTGGGGCTGGGCCTGCAGGGTATTACCGTCAACACTAACAGCTCGAGTCCTCAAAAAATTATGTGAGGAGACACCAAAGAGGGGGGGTCATTTAAGAAGACCAGACGTAGCTAACTCTTTAAAAAATTAAAAGCTAAGAACAAATGGCAAGAAAGCAACTTTCTGTACCAAAGCTATCCAACAGAACATTCGGGGCTGATGGGACCGTTCTATTCTGCGCTGCCCAATGTGGTAGCAGCTCGCCACATGAGGTTAGCACCCACGTGAAATGCGGATGATGTGACTGAAAAACTGAAATTAAAATTGTATTGCCTCTGGGCGCCTGGGTGGCTCAGTGGGTTAAGCGTCCGACTTCGGGTGAGATCATGATCTCACGGTCCGTGGGCTCGAGCCCCGCGTCAGGTTCTGTGCTGACAGCTGAAAGCCTACAGCCCGCTTCGGATTCTGTGTCTCCCTCTCTCTCTGCCCCTCCCCTGCTCACGCTCTGTCTCTTTCTCTCTCAAAAATAAATACACATGAAAAAAATTTAAATAGTGAAAATAAATTGCACTGCATTTAATTAACTGAAACAAATGTAAATGCGTATGTGTCTGGCAGTTACCATTTGGACATTTGGACAGCACAACTCTACACTCACATGCATCATCTGAAAACATGACAAAACTTCAAGTTCTTGGGGACTTGTAAAGCCTCGAAAGGCCTGAATAAGACAATAAACAAACCAACCAACAGGAGGAAGAGGCTTCTCAGCTGTCACTTGGTGTCCACATGGGACTGTATCTTCTAAGCCGAGGCAGGCGGGCCAGAGTTGGTGACGGGGACGGGGCTGCCCTGAGCCCGCAGACGGTGGCACGCCCGCCCCCGGACGCCTCTGCCCCTTTCCCGCAGCCCCCAGCCATCCTGGTGATGATGACAAGACACAGGTCGTCTGGGGGCAGCAGCAAGTCCATCAGTCCGGAAGCTCCCGGAGGGCAGGGACAGGGTCTCGGCCACCACTGAATACCTCTCTCCAGCTCCCCAGGCCCGTAACACGGCTGGCACCCAGAAGAGAGTTGTTTTGAACAGAATTCTCAATATTTGTTACAGAGGTTGTCACGATTACAGGATGGGCTGTGGACTGAATGTTTGTGTCCCCGCATAAATCATACGTCGAAACTCTAATCCCCAGTGTGATGGTACTCGAAGGTGGGGCCTTTGAGAGGTTAAGTAGGTTTAAATGAGGTCATGAGGGTAGAGCTCCCATGATAGGATTCGTACCCTTATAAGGAGGACATCTCTCTCTGCCATGTGAGGACACAGCCTTCAAATCAAGAGGAGGGTTCCCGACGGACAGCGATCTGGATTTGCTGGCACCTTGATCTTGGTCTTCCCAGCCCTGAAGACTGTGAGAAATAGATGTTTATGGTTTAAGCCACATGGTCAATGGCATTTTTTTATCGCAGCCCAAGGGGGGGCTGAGACGGGGTTTGGGGGGAAAGCAGCTTTTGGCATCAGTTTTTTCATAGGCACTCATTAAAAATAAAAACAAAACCAACCAGACCAAAAGAAACATTACCAGGCCCCTCCCATGGGAACTATGAAGCCAAGAAAGAAGATTCCCTGCTCTAGAAAGGACCCTGCCAACGAGACATGACCAAGCACAGGAGTAATTATGACCCCAGGCATAAAGCGACTGGTTTCATCTGAGCCACACTGATGGAGACATTGGGCCCCACCAAGGCAAGAGGGATACATTACTGCCAAAATGGGGGAGGGGAGCAGAAGGGGGCAGCTTCCTGGAGAAAGTGGTATCCGGGCCAGGTGTAGAGGGATATAGCGGATGTGCTTGTGCAGGAGACTGGGATGGGAGCATAGAACACAGGTTACAAGGTGGGGGGGGGGAGGGGGGGGACCCTAGAGACTAGTCTAGCCCTTTGTGCAGCAGTGCTATGCAGGGAGGCCTGAAACTCTGCTCTGGCAAGGTAAGGGGTCCCCTTGGAGCTCTGGCTAAAAACCGTAAGGAACTGGGGTATTTGGAATTTCTAGCTGCTAGGCTCACTACCGCTGAAATGGATCCCCACCCCAAGCCCCACCTCTTTCGCAACGAGAGAGGGTGGACAGCTGAACAACCAGTGTGGCCTCCCAAGTGGCCGTGGGAAGGGGCTGGGTTGTCTGCTGCCCCCACTCTCTTCCTCCTGCTGTGAAATCCGCATCAGCTGGAGATGCCCAAGAGATCCGTTTCCATCTGTTCTGGGCATGGTTGGTAGGAAAGCCGCAGATCCAAGAGGCAGCTTGGCCTATCAGCATGACAGAGGCAGCCTCCGGTGGGGGTAGGGAAGGAGCCCACTGCAGAGACATGCTCAGCCAGCCCTGGGAACAGCTGCCCAGCCGTGGGGCCGGGAGGCTCCCAGCTTCCCAGCCGCCCACAAATCCCCCATTTTGTAGCCTGCTTGCTAAGGGTGTCAGTAAGATCATCAGAAGCACATCTGCCCGGAATGATAGCAAACGTGGGCACGTTCTAAGGGAAGCCCACGAGAGTTAGGGGACTCGGGTGACCACACCAGCAGGGCCTGTGGTATCCCCAAGAGCCTGGAAACGACCCCTGCAGATTTCATCCGTCTCTAACTGGACCAGGAAGTATCCTCAGCCAAGACCCTAGGCAGGCTCGTCTACAGCTGTGCTGCTCTCGGCATGTCCCAGGGTGCCCTACCACCCGCTACTCTGGCCCTCGCGAGCCCCTCGCGGCTCTGTGAGGCTGGGCGGGGGACATACTTCTGAGCAAATACTAGATGAACAGCTGTTCTGTTCAGCATATGGTCTCAGCAGTTTCCTCCAAAGGCAGGGCTGGAAACAAAAGTTCCCATCCAGGTATTCATTCTGGCGATGATCCCAGGGGGCAGGAGTGAGATCCAGTTGAGAGGGAAACAAGGAAGAAGGGAGACATACAAAGATGCATTCCTGAGGCGGCTTCCACCTGGCACCCTTCCTGGGGAACTCCTGAAAAGCCTTGTGGAAAGCATCTCAGAACTGCCCACCCAAGCACTGAAAGGGGAAAGCACTTATCGCTACGTTCCTGTGCCCCCGCGGTCACGGGCAGTCCCGTGCGGTTCCAGGATACACACTGGTAAATGTCAATGCTACAGAGCAGACAGTCCCGGGACAGAGAGTGAGAGGTTCGTGAGGCGGCCCAGAGGGAAGTGCAGTCAGAGCATCTCCACGACAGTGCTCAAAGCCTCTGGCACCTGCGGGCTGCACTAGAGCCGGAGCAAGAGGGGGTTTCCGGAAAGCCTGGGAGAGTTACGTCTGCCTCCACCATGTCTGTCCCTGAGTCCAAGGCACAGGCTAAACCCTCCTGAGGCCTGCTCCTGGCTAAGATGCTGTATTAGTTTCCAATTCTCTGATGGCACTGGCGCTCAGAAGTCTGACATGGGTCTCACTGGGTGAAAATCAGGGTTTTGACGAGGTTGGGTCCTTTCTGGAAGCTCTAGGAGACCATCTGTTTTCTTGTTTTTTCCAGCTTCTAGACCAGGGGTGGGGAGGGTGGGGTCTGTTGGTCCCTTGGTCTTGGTCTGGGGTCCCTTCCTCCATCCTCAAAGCCAGCAGTGGCCAAGCAAGTTTTCCTCACATCACATCACATCACATCACTCTGACACGGTCTCCCTTGCCTCCCTCTTCCCCATTGAAAGGATCCCTATGGGCCGCCTGGGTGGCTCAGTTGGTTGGGCATCCGACTTCAGCTCAGGTCATGATCTCACGGTCCGTGAGTTGGAGCCCTGCGTCGGGATCTGTGCTGACAGCTCAGAGCCTGGAGCCTGCTTCGGGTTCTGTGTCTCCCTCTCTCTCTGACCCTCTCCCATTCATCCTCTGTCTCTCTGTGTCTCAAAAATAAATAAACATTAAAAAAAAAAAAAAGGATCCCTGTGATTACACTGGGGGCCCCTTGGATAAGCCAAGACAATCTCCCCATCTCAAGGTCAGTTGATGAGCAACCTTAATTCCACCTGCAACCTTAATTCCCCTTCACATGTAACATAGCATATCCACAGATTCCAGAGATGAGGTGGTGAATGCCTTTGAGGGACCATTTTCCCACCTACCCCAGATACTATTTCATCTGTTCCTGAAAAGAAGAGTCCAGGGCACTTCTGCAGTTAATTGGGGTGGACCTGTCTGGTCCACAGAACCAGAAAGGAAGAACCTGCCTGTCCCCGAGGCTGCCCCTGTGACCCCCACATTTTGCCGGCACAGCCGCCTACTTTGCCAACGACAACTAAACCCAACAAAGTCAGGAGACAGATGACCCAGAGGCCCCAAGGTGATCCAGACATCATAGAAAGGGCCTAAACTTCACAGACAGATGGACTCAACTCTGATCCCAACCTAGGAAAGACTGCTCAACCTTTCCAAGCTTCCAGATCCCAGAGCAGGGCCAAAGTCCCAGGGGACTGTCAGGATTGGCGATCACTTTTCCAATCTCTACAAAATAGCTGTTGAAGAATTACTATTCTTCACACCAGCTCTCTCTAGGCCCTAGGGTTATACCAGGAACAAGACCAAGTCCTGACCCCCATCAAGCTTACGTTACACCCTAGACGATGCCTGGAATATAGTAGTTGCTCGGTAAATTGAAGGCATCATTAGGGCTTTCAAGGCAGTAATTCTCAAAGAAGTAACTCTACTCTTTAGTTATTTACTGATTTATAACATACAAAATATAATCATAACCATTCCCTCATTTGATTCTCAAAACAACCCAGAGAGGTAGATAGCAGGCCACTCCATGGTTCTTCCTGCAGCCTTGGTGAGACTTGTACCCAATCCAAGCACCCCCATCCATGCAGAGTGGGTTACCTCTGCCCTGTTTCCATAATTTCATTAAGCAAAAGGCCAGGAGAAGGAGAAACTGAAGCCTAAAAGACTTAGAATCGTTCTTCTCTAGAGCTCTGGATGCAATAAAATATCTTAAAGCCATTTTCTCACCTGCTGTAAATGGTTGAACCATATTTGGGGGGGTGGGGTGGGGTGGGGAATGTTTGCACCTCTCTTCATGCATTCGGCCCAGGCTGCCTTGCGCTAACACGCATGTTTTCTTGTCTCTCTCTCCCACAGAGCTGAGAACTCATCACCTAGGGGTGGCAAGGTCTCAGTGAAGGGCTTTGCAATTATTTAGTAGCCCAGAGGAAGCATTTGCTCAGTCTGCCCCCTCTCCCATCCCCCAGGTCTCAGCAGAAGCCTCGGCTGACGACTGTATGCATGACCGATTTCTACGTCTCTATGTTACACTCGGGTTGTCAGGCACGAGCTTCCGCTCCTGGAGGGAGCACGCAGGCTAGCCTCCCACGGGCAGAGCAAAGGCAAGGATGTTCCTGAGCCTGCATCTAGCTTCACTCTGTATCCTCACCCCCAGTTCCTGAAAGGTAAGCTTCCCCCCAACAGAACGTGAGGGGGCCAGAAGGGATAGTCTGCAGCACAGGGCATAGAACGGTTGTCCCTTGTCTTTGGCTGATCTGGCGCGTGCCTCTGCCTCCGCTGCCTGCCCTTTCCCACACTCTGCTTGCTCCCTCCTTCAGTTGTCAGATCTCCCAGGCTCAGCAGGCAGTCTGCCATAATTCTCAAGAATAAAGAAAACATTTTAGGGTTTGACAAGCCCAACATTTGCATGTCTGTTTTCAGAGAAATACCCATCTGGGGGGATTAAGCCTTTTTTTTTTTCCTCCCTCCCCATCCGACCCAAAGTATGAAAACATTCTTGACATAGTTGCCTGAAAAAGGATTTCTAAAGAGAAAAATACCTCCCATACCCTGTGATTTCAGTGACTTGGTGTGAAAAGCACCTGAAAGAAAGGGGATGAAGTGGAGAACAGAAAGGAAAAAAAAAATCTCTTTAGTCAAATAGCTTGTTAATCTTAAAGTAGGCAATGCATTAGCTTTCCTCTCTAGTCTCAGGAAATACACATGTTGGTGTGTATTTCATCCCCAAGCAGCACCTCTTCACCGAGGAGCAGGGCCTGTGCACCCATAGGCCCAGGGCACCAATACTATGGGGGAAAGGCAGAAACCCAAGGCCCAGAGTCCAGAGCCACTGAGCAGAAGGTGGGGGGGGGGGGGGTGCGCAGAGAGCACTTTTTGGGGTATGCACCTCCCTCTTGGGGAGGTTCTCATCTTAAAGCAAATTTGTGGGTGGGATTCCTAGAAAAAGGCCAAGTAGGGCGACTCATCCTAAATCATTAAAGATTTTAGCTGAAGATGATTTGCACAAAATCCAACTGCACTCAATCAGGTCGGGAAGCCAGTGAACTTCTGATGTGATGAACTTGGCTGCCATTGCCTCGAGGAAGGCAGAGTTGTGCCCAAGAAAGTGATGGAGGACTGAGCAGCTGGCTGGTCCAGGTAATGTAGCAAAAGGCAACTTTAAGGTTTTGGAAGTGAAGGGAACGTGACATTGCCCAAGATAAGAACCACGCACCCATCCATTCATTCAACAATGGAACGTCTGTATTGGGCACAGCACTGGTTAAATGTTGATGCCTTTCAACCTCAAGAGGGCACATGGGCCCATGAAGCCCTGGAAAGGAAATATGTTGGGAAGAAAGGAAAATTTAGAGAACCCCCCCCCCATCCCGATGAGTTGATTGCCTATGAAAGGGCCAGGGCAAGTGTCCCAATACAAACCCCAGAGACAGGGCCCAGCACATGTTGCTGGAGACAGGTGGCCCAACACACACACAGGATGCTCAGAGATTTCCTGTGGCCTGAGTTCCAAATGGCACAGGCTGAGGTGGCACATCTTGTGTGCCAGTCAGGAGAGCAGTTTCTAAATGAAGCCAAAGAAGAGAAACCAGCAGGAAAGGACCCCCCCCTTCTCCAAGGAGTCGGGGAGCTCCGAGGGTGTGCTCAACCTGGTGGAGGAGGAGAGGAGGGGGACCCATGCCAGGACACAATGTCCAGAGTGGAGGAGCTCTGGTCAAGATTTGGGGGACAGGGCCAGGTGAGGCCAGGGCGTGAGGCCCCATGGGGACATAGGCTGGGCAGTAATGGTCCAGGCGTGCCCTCGGGGGCCACCACAAAGGGTGGTTGCCTAACCACCACTAGAAAACAGAGGGCTGGGTGCTCTGGCCTGCAAGGGGTCAGTGAAGAAAGAAAGGGGGTGGAGTGAGGTAGGGTGGGCTGTGAAGCCAGACGCCTTGCTTTAGAGGAGAAGTATTCCCTCCAGTCCCCAGAAATCCTAGAATCTGCAGCAAGCTGCCTAAGATAAGTAGGGTGAGAAGCCAGAAGGCCGTCCGTCTGGGATGCGTAGCAAAAAGAACACTCCCCACCACCACATCATGCCTTCTCCCAGGAAGAGATTAATTTCAAAACTTTTTCCTAGGTACACAGTATATCATACCAAATGATGTATCCAGCCATCCTGCCTCAGATTCCACTCTGGGATTTCTCCACGAGCATTTGGCTTTCCTGCTGCAGGACGGAAGAGGAGGTTGGAGAAGTTTGCTTACAGGGACAACAACCCAGGGACACGTACTCTAGGAGACACTGGAGCCTGGCGTCTGGGTAAGACATCTGACCCTCTTCGGCCCCCCCCTTAAAAGAAAGCATGGAGACCCAAAGGCATTCGAGCAGAGGGCAGAGAGGCTAAAGCCCCCTCCACACCCAGCCCATCTGCCTCGCTGCCACCCCAGCCCCTACTCGGCCACCCAGTTCTTCTCAGTGCTGAACTGATTAGTCATTCATAACGCTCAAGTCATTAATTGAGGAAGGAAGCCACGCTACGGGCCTTGAATCACACTGGATCCAGGGGAGAGCAAGGCCAAACTTGCCTGACTGGGTTCGATATTGCATTACTGAGATCAGCGCAGCAAGGGAGAGGTTCACAGGTTACCAAGCCCCGAGGAGCCCATCCACAGCCGCAGCCTTGGCTGACCCTCGATGGGGAGCTCTGCTGCTTCTGGGGTGTGGGGAGACTCAAGGGTTCAGAGACAGGTTGGAAGGACACCAGATCGGCCCAGTGTCCCCCTTGACAGATGGTGAAACTGAGGCCCAAGGAGGCAGGCACTTGCTGCAAGTCAAATACCAAATGTAATATAGATGGGATAGAACTCTCATATCTCAGTCCTGTGGCCCCAGCAATTTCCACCGCACCAGACTACTCCTAGGCAATCGTAATATTAAGGCTTGGATGGTAAGGGGCGATGTGAATGGCAAAATAACAAAATAACAAAAACAACCCAGTGTCCATCAGTAGGCAAGTAGCTTTAAAAAATGAAATGGGGGTGTCTGGGTGGCTCAGTCAGTTGAGCTTCCGACGTTGGCTCACGTCATGATCTCATGGCTCGTGGGTTCGAGCCCTGCGTTGGGCTCTGTGCTGACAGCTCAGAGCCTGGAGCCTGCTTCGGCTTCTGTCTCTGTCTCTCTCTGCCCCTCCCCTGCTCGTGCTTTCTCTCTCTCTCTCTCAAAAATAAACATTAAATTTTTTTTTTTTTAATGAGATGTAGGTTAAGTAAAATGAAATGTGAATCAGCCATGTAGAAAGATTGGCATGACTCTCTATGTTCTGGTATGGATCGATCTCCCTGATAGAGTTTTATAAGCAAGAGAGTACGACCTAGTACCTATAGTATGCTGCCATTTTGGAAGAAGGGAAGCACACACACACACACACACACACACACACACACACACACACACCTGTGTGTGCTCTTGCCTTTGCATAAACCACCTCAAGGATGCATGGAAAACTGACAGCAGTGGTTGTGTCTGGGAGAAGCCCTCAGGGGCAGAGTATAGAGAACAAGAGGGGATGGGCTTACTTTTTACTCTTCTTTCTCACAACTCGGATTATCTACTATTGGCCTGTGTGATCAAACTGAAATCTAAAACACGCACCTCGCCCGAGGCTCAGAGTCAGCAATCCTGACTAGCTACAGTGGGTACACTAGTCTCGGAACATATAAGCATGTAAGCTGAAAAGGCAATGGACTGATGACCAGAAAAATGAGTGAATGAAACAAAATGTTGTCTGAACCCCAAGGTAGCAATTAGATATATGGCGTCACATGTTGGACGAGACAAGGAACATATCACAGTACTTAAGAGCCAGAAGAAAGTATCAAGATTATGATGGGCAGCCTCTCATTGGGCAGAGTGGTGGGAGTCTGAGAACCCGGGTTCGAGTCGTTGGTCACCTAAAATCTCAGAAACCTCAGTTTCCTCATCTGCAAAATGGGAATGGTAATATCTCCTTCCTGGAATTTTCGTGCGGATCAAACGGGATCGTGGATGGGAAAGAACTTGGCAATGTGTAATGTATAGAACGGGCTGGGGGACTATGGCGAGCCCTGTCCCCCTGTACCCCTCCTGTCCACCTGCAGGTCTGATTGCTTTCCCCAGCCTCAGGCACTTTCAGCACCTCAGTGCCCAGTGCCTCAGTTTCTACGTGCTCAGGAAAAGCTCTAAAGGAGTCTCCCTGGGGCGTCTTCTACCCTCTCCCCTCAGGCAACAAAGGCCGCAGACACAATTTGCCTGAGGTCACAAAGGGACAGCCCCAGGAAGAGAATGGCTTCATTCCTTCACATCTTAAAAGATTTCATTCTTTGTAAGTGGTCTGCTCACACGTAGAGAACTTGAGAGGAGTCACACATCCTGAGCTGAATCAGCGACCTCCTCATTATTTACCGACCAGCCTCCCCCGGGATTGAGTGACATTTCAGGGACAGCAAAGTTCTCAGGAAAAGTGCCCTCGCATGTGGCCACAGGAAGCAAATCCCCCTCCAGCTCCCCCCACTCCAGGATGAGGGAACAGGGGCTGTCGGAGCCAGATCTGGTGGGCACACGGTGAGAAGCGAACCCCTGGGTTAGGACCAAGACTCGGGGAAGCCCAAACATGGTTCCCGTCTTGTGGATGGGGAAACTGAGGCTCAGAGAGAAGAAGAGAACCTCTGTCTAGGTTTACAGCCAAAGTCTCCCCCCTCCGTTCCAGCTGTTTCCATCTATCCCTGTGGAGAATGGTGCTTGGAAAGAGTGGGACACCCATCACTTGGGATGCAAATAGTTGTTGTCTGAAAGGAAGAAGAAAGCAGGGCAGTGCTGTGGAGACATGAGGACCTGCACGGAAACACACTTGCTCGTTCGGGGCCACCGATCAGGTGCTATTTCTGGCTACTAATTATGCACAGGGGCCAGCAGAGGCCCGATTTCTGTGGCTGGCTGCACGCTGCGCCCTGGCGCTTACACCCACTCCTAATTTTCACGGCTTCGCCCCGCCCGCCCCCACCTACTGTATTTCCCCCACCTTCGTCACCACCGCAGACTCCTTCCCCAGGCACGGGCCGGGCTCACCGCTCCTACCACCTAGGCATGTCTGTGCGAGGAAGGAGCTTTCTAGAGTCCTCCCATCTTGCATGAATGTGCTCGCTCGTTCATTAATTCATCAAATACGCACCAAACACTGATAGGCCGGACACCCCACCAGAATCCTCGCATGACTCGACGTAATCACGCATTCTTTGGGATGTCTTTCGTAGACAGCCAGAGAGAAAACGCTGTTGAAAAAAAAAAAAAAAAAAAAAAGCTACAATGTGATGATAACAGGATAACAGGAAAAAGCTTGAGTTTTTGTTAATGCATTATTATTTATTAATTATGTTCCTCTGTCTTAAATCTTCCCTCGGTCACCAGAGTGGGATCAATAAATGGCAACATTTTCCCATCTGATGATTTTAAATGAGATTACAAAGACATGGAGTTTTAATTTCACATGCATTAGTTTCTGGGTCTTGGGTCTCTTTCCACCCCCCCCTCAAAGCAGATAAATGAGGTTCTAAACTTAGGATAATAAGGCTTAACAGTGAGGCGCTTTTTAAAAAGTGAATCATTTCTCAGTTCTCCTTTGCTAATCTCTCTTGGTAACATTAATTATGAGTTTGTGCAGCGTGCCCCAAGGCGAGCTCGGCTTTCCCAGGACAATTAAAGTTACTTAATTATTAAAAACTGTGTGTGCTGCTTCCCAGAGAGAAAGAGGCAGCCGGGCCCGGCTCCCAGAGCCCCCCACAGGAGTGACCGGACACTCTGTGGGAACTCGGCTCCTTTCCCTCACCATTGTAATTCTTTCAATATAATCTATGAAAACCCCCTCGCTGACCCCTGATAGCAGTAGGACATGTCGCCCCACACCCTGAAAATGGCTAGAAGGGGAGAAGGAGGGGTGCCGCGGCCCAGCTGCATTCGCAGCAGACATTCCCAAGAGTGCTACTAATTTGTAACAGCCTTTTTGTTCTGGACGGGGCTTTGGTTGTGGTCCTGGGTCTGCCACCGACACCCCAGGGAGACTTGGGGCAAGGTCACTCCTGCAATTCTGAGGCTTGGATTCATAGTCCCAGGCACCCTTCGATCTCTAGGGGGCCTCCAGGTCCTGATTCTTTGATGAGGCTAACACTTACCCTGGAAAAGGAAACTCCCATTTTTCATTCCACTTCCTATTCTCGTTCATTCATTCATTCATTCATTCACTCATTCATTCACTCAGCAAGCATCTGCCCTGCGCTGGGCGCTGTTTTAGCTCAGGGATAGAGAAGAGACGCAACATTCTCAAATCCTGCCCACCATCTTGCGCACAGAAGGAAATGGAGACTGAGAAGGGAGGAGGCTGGTTCTGGGGCTCCCCAGAAAGTCACACCAAGGCAGGCGAGAACCCAGTCCTCCTGACCCCTGCCCCGGGGAGCTTTCAACACCCTGCTGCCAGCCACTCCTTAGCTCCCTCCCCTTCTGATCTATTTAGCTCCTTCCCACCCCCAGCCCCCTCCCGGGGCTCCAAGTCTCCAAGGAAGCATAGCCCCTTAGAAACATCCTGGCCACCTATAAACGTGAGCCATCTATGTAATTTTACATACGCTAGTAGCCACATTGTTAAAAAAACAAAAAAAACAAAAAAAAAACCACTTAACCAAGATAATTTTTAAAAATCATATTTTAAACTTGTGATAAATATAGACATGTATTTACTGATAAGATATTGGACACTTTAAAAAAAATTAAATCTTCAAAATTCACCGAGGATTTGACAGTTACAGTACATCCCAGTCTGGCTAGCCATGTTTCAAATGCCCAAGAGCCACCTGTGGCCAGTGGTCACTAGCCTGAGCAAGCAGCACAGGAGTAAGGTCCCTCTCACCTGAAACTTTCCATCAGTCCTCAATACTCAGGACAATCCAGGAAGAAAAGTGTGCGATTCATGCACACGGCATGACAGGGGAAGTCTGGAGCACGGGGTCCCCAGGACACCGACCCCGCGGAACACGACATAACCGAGAAAGTAAAATGCACGTCATTAAGTGCAAAGAGCAAGATAGAAACAGTGTATGTGGAATCCTGCCCCTGCAGGGCACCTGCATGTCTCCTTGTATGTGCATCAACTATCTCTAGAAGGATTCCTAAGAACCAAAACCCTCCCAAAGGAGAACTGGATGGATGGAGGACAGGGCACAAGGGGGACGTTCGCCGCCCGTGTGCCCACACTTTTGGATTTTGAAATATGTGGATGCGTGACCCATCAAAACCTAAACTCAGAACTCTTCAGTTCGCGGGCACACTGTGGGCACAGGAGGCCTGCCAGCACGATGCTTGCTCCCAGTCCCCAGGGCAGTGCACCAGCAGGGGAGCAAATACAGGTCTCTGAGGTCCCTGCTGCTCCACGATAGGAAGAGGGAGGCTTGGCAGAGGCCCAGGGCAGGAAGACATGATATCAAGTGACTTTAAAGGGCTCTTTTGTTTCCGGAAAGGCAGCGGTTTCCCCTCTGCATCCCTGCCCCCCTCTCGGAGCCTGCTGTCTCTGGGATCCCTCCACCACCTGCTACCAGAGCATCATTTCTCCCCCCCCCCCCCCCCCGGAAGAGCCTCTGGGCTTGAGGTGGGGAGGGGAGGGAGGCACTGGCTGGGAAGGAGCGTCATCCTGTCTTCCCAAAGGATGTCATTCATTCCCAGATGTCATTTCCAGAGGCATGATGCCACCCTGCCAGCTGCCCTGTAAATCCTGGCATATGACACAGAGCAATGGAACAAGAGAGCAGAGCCCGAGCATGGTCGCACCTGTGCGTGTGTCCACCTGTGCACATCCGGGGCCGCGCTCTGACACTCACGCACTCATTCGGCCTTTTAACAAATACTAGCTGGGCATCTACTATATCCCAGTCTCTGTGCTAGAGCCTTGGGATCTGGCAGGGACAAGGCACATGAGGTCCTGTCCTCAAGGAGCTTACCGTCAAGCAGCAGAAACAGGCATCAAATTGAAAATAATTCACTCGTAACTCTTGTGATAAGTACATGAAATCGGGGTTCACGGTCTAGTCTGGGAGGGCAGGGAAGGCTCACTCGAGAACTGGCACTTAAGTCGAGTCTAAAAAATAAATCCAGAGGTGATGTCACAGGTGAGCCTTACGTGGATAGGGGCCCCACTATCAACTTGCTATGTCTTTGAATAAACCACCTCCCCTTTTCAAAGATGTTTTTATTTGAAAATAAATTTAAAACTTCAAAATATTGTCAAAAGAGTCAAAACCACCTGTATGTTTTTAGCCAGGTGATTCACTATTAACATTTTACCCCATTTGCTTTATCAGTTGTTTCTTCTCTCCCTCTCTTTCTTTCTCAACCATGTGACGGTACCTAACACACACTTTTGGTCCTTTAGGACCAAACCCTTCGGGAGCCCACTCCCTTTCTGAGCTCAGCATGGGAAGATGGTCCCCTGTCCCCTCTCCTCCCAGGGCGTCACAGGGAACGAACCCGTGAAAGCCTGCACGAGCAAATCTCGGGCACATGGAATAAAAATCATTACTATCCATTTGCTGAGCACCTCTTGGGACTTAGAAATGAGATTTAAAATGACTTCCCAGAGAGATGCCCAACGTCTCAATTCCTCCAGGAGACAGCCTGCTCTTTAGCCAGCCCTGGAGGTTGGGATGGGGGCACGCGAGGGGAGGCGGGCAGCAGCGTCTGTCCACAGACCCTCTTCTCGGCCGGGTAGGCCTGAGCCCTTGGGGAGGACATTTCTGGCTGACCAGCTCTCCCCACAGCTGAGGGGAAGCATCTCAAGGCAACAGACAACGCTCGCCCACCCCCGGGGGAAAGCCTCCTTCTCCATGATGAAATGGAACAGAGCCAGCCCAGAAGCCCTCTCCTGGCCGGTCAGCCCGGCATTCAGGAGCACAATAGCGTTGGTCCTCTCAGCGGGTTTTGAGAGCCATTCCCTTAATGAGAACGATAAATTCACAAGAAAAGGCTGGTTGCCAAGCGCAAGGAAGGAAAGTGCTGCCTGGGCCTCACCGGCCCCAGGGGACCACCCCTCCGAGCGTGGGACCTGCAGAATCAACAACCGGACAGGGACGAGACCCTGACTACTGAGTCATACGTCTGGGCTCAGAGCCTGGCACCGTGTACTTTTCAAAGCTTCCCAGGTAACCATCTGTCAGTTTAGCAACCGCTGGCCTAGCTAGCTACCCTCAGATCCTTCCAGGGCCGCGG